GAGCTGCGCTGCTGCAGGTGGACATGTTCGCTGCACCTCCCTTTAAAAACGGTCAGCTGATCGGTCGCGGTTTTGTTGCGCTCGTGACGTGAACACACAGGGGGAAATGCTGCGAAGTGCTTTTAGAAATATAATATATATAAAATATGACGTAATCCTCGGTGGAAAATAGTCCAGGAAATGTGTGCGTTCCCGGGAGGTGTTCACCTGCAGCTGAGTGAAGCTGACCCCCCACCCGGAGAGAAAGAAAAAAAGACAGCAATTATTGATAAGGTAGTAACCATGCTGTGGCTTCACCTGTGGCAAGTGATCCATTTTCATCTATTAAGTCAATTAAACTGTAGCAGCCACATATGAGAACAGAACAAACAGCAGGTTACAGAAAAACTACAGAAAATTATGGAAATGCCTTCCTGTCTTGTACTTCTGCAATGCCATTAGGTTACCATCTAGTTGAATGACTAAATTCTTGATACAGCCAAAACAGTTAAAGTTTGTTGGGCCTATAGACTGTATTTGGAATTAGAACAAAGCCAAAATATCAAATGTTGACAATTTTTTTAAAAAAATTGTTATGACTTTAATGCCATGCTGTTATGTAGCAAACCCACAACAGGGCTCTTAAGAACCATGAGCCCATCAGGTAATTTTTCTTTTTAAAAACATCATTAAGCACAGTTTTGGTGGTGAACCTGTGTTTTGGTGTAACTGTCCAGTGTCCACGAGACAAATCAGAGGAAGGTTCGAATGTTTGATCAGACACAGTAAAGTGTTTTGCCAAAACCAAACAGCATATCAGAAAAAATGCCTCATACCTGCTCTAAAGCACGACAGAGGAACAGTGATGGTTTGGGTTTGTTTTACAGCTGAAACACCATTATCCAGATCTTCTAACCCAACTCTAAACTTGCATTTTTTATTATGTAATTGAAAACAAATTGCCCTTCTCTCTTGACAAGAGCAGTGTCAAATTCTGACTCCAACTCAAGCTAAAGTTTCAGAGCTGGCCTTTCGCATATGATTTATAACTATAATATAAAACCTGAAAGAAAGTGAAAAACATAGAATTTGGCTAGAACGAATGAAGTTGAAGCTCTGTGAGAACAAAACAGGCACAGAGTTTGAAGATATAAAGGCACTAAAGTTCCTACACTGGAGCCTTGTTTCATGGTTTACTTGCTGACAATAATTCATTTTTTGTCCCACTGGAGAATCTAGAAAAAAAAATCCAATCAGTTTTTGCCCCAAGGCCTTTATTTCTCTCTCTTTCTCCCATCGTCATTTTTTATAACTCTTTCTACAAATATTTAATCTTATTTTTTAACTAAATCTTTTTACCTGAACCTGACTGATTACTAATGATGCTGATTTTGACACAGTTGGATGATCAGATCTTTTAATCTCCTTACAGGAATGCAGCAGACGGTCTTTCTATAAATCATCCTGGGCTGCAGTCCACCATTTATCCTGACTGGGAAACTGCAGACCAAGATAACTATACGGCACACATGGCTGTTCGACCAGGCCTTGTGGACAGGCATTCTTCGAACTCCACACTTCCAGGATTTAACTCGGCCACTGACTAAATGTTGTCAGGTACAATATCTACATAGAAAATGTTCACAAGCCCCATGACGGACTTGCAGACTCTCCAGAGTGCTCCCCACGACCCAGAAAGGAAAAGTAGGAAAAGAAGGAAAATGGGTGGATAGACAGAAAACACTCAGTTAGCTACATTTCTAATAGCCTTACTTTGCCGTCTTATGAAGCTCTATTAAAATTCAGCTAAAGTGTGTTTTTTAAAGCTGTTAGATGGAGCTGCTTGGTGTGACAAAGCTCTGCTTTTACAAGAACAAGAAGTGCTTTGATTAAGGCTCAGACAACAATACAGGGAACATAGTGGTCAATCAGAAAACATCCTTCTGCTGATGGAACAAGGTCCACTGCAGGTACGATATGAAACTCCTCTATTAAACGGGTGAACACAGGTTTCTGTTTGGTGCTTGATGTCACACACTCTGAGCCTTCAAATGTTACTTTCTTTCCTGAGACACGTGGGATGTTATTCATCATCAGCAATCGCGTGATATTTCCACCAGCAGATCACCGAGCAGGCACAAAGCTGAGGCTTCCTGCGGTTCTAATGATGCTTGGCAGAGCTCACTGATCGATGAGCTTCCAAAGGCTCAGGCCACCGGTCGGGATCAGCACCTTTCGTTGGAGGGCTCACAGAGAAAGTAGAAATATATCTGGGTGCTTTGTGTTTGTGATGAAGCGACCTGAGGCAACAATTAAAAACTCCACATGAATGTCTGCTACTGTTTGATACCTCAATCAAAAAAGGCACATAACTAGTAACAAATCTTGATTTCATCACAGAGTTTAAACTGAAGAATTAGGACACACTGTCTTTTCTACCCATTTGCTTCATTTATACGTTGTTTCTTACTGCCATCTAGTGTTCTTTACCCACTAATTCAGTTGCTTTTTAAAGGGCTAAACTACTATAGTAACTCCTTAAAACATACATGAAATTTTCCAACTTTAAAGTGCTTTAGCATTTTTAAACAGTACAAAACCCTTAGAAATGCTGGTTTTTAGGATTGTTCTGTTTAATGAAGTCGTCATGTCCATTTGTTTCCTTCACTGTGGGACAGAAACACACAGGTTGTTTTTCCAGGACCTCTGCAATTAAGGTTAATTAAGGTCTTGAATTGTTTTCCATTTGAACACTGTGGTGGAAATATATTACAAGAACCTCCCTTACTGCTAAGTTCATATTACCTTGACATGTTCTGTTCTGTATCTCTTTGATAACTTCCACATTGTCTAATCTGTTCTCTTGATTCTTAGACGCTGTACGTATGTCTGCAACCTTGTTCCCATTTCATATTGCCTATGTAAGTTGAAATTCTTTGATTTATCAATCATATATCTTTCTACTATTCAGCACGCTCTTATTGGCTGTCTGTGAACTCCACCGGATGTTTATAACTGTTTCCTGTTTCTGCCTTAGTGGCAACTTGACAGATGCTCTGATTCACGTCTGCCCGGTTATCACTCATCTCTTGCATATGCAACTTTATTAAACCTTTTGATGACCAAACCATGCAAGTTCACAGTTTTTTTCACGTGTTTCTGCCTTGGTGGAATATTTCCATTACAAACACAATCTGTTGAGCTGTAGATTGCTTAGGTTGAACTCTAGACGAAACATTTTAGAACCTTCACACAACCTGATAAATACTAATAAGTTTTGTTTTTGAGTTCCTCTTCAGAAATTGTCTCCATGACGGACTTCAAAAAGCTTCTTGGAGTTCTCATTTCTGTCACAAAAATCAGGGCTTTGCCAACTAACAAATAACTCAAAATCACTTTCAAATTTACTTTTGTTCATCACATTACTTATAGGATTTATTTATTTGTTTAAATAAATAGAAACACAACCGGTCAAAAAAAAATAACTGAAGCACGTCCGATAAAGAAACTTAAAACTAAGGGTTGAGCGATTGGTCAAATACGTCGATCATCATCGATTGACTGAGTCCAACTATTGATTGATTTAAGGGACATTTTTTTCACGTGCTTAATTTTAGTTAGGTTGATATTCCCACTTGAGGATTTTGACCTACATAAATGTACAATTTAAATCAAAACCTGAACCACATTGAGCATTGCAGGTAAAATTAACCTCATAAGTTTCCAGCAAGTGAAGTGTCCAACTTTGTTTCAGGGGTCAAGGTGTCTCACCTAACGTAATGTTACTACATAAACAGTACATCATCAATTGTTGGTTGTTGGACTAATGGATGATGGTTAAATAGTAGGGGTGCACCAAAAAATCGTTTTACATCAGAATCGTGATTCTCATTTTCAAAGATTCAGAATCGATTTAAAATGTCCCAAAATCGATTTTTATAAATAAAAAATAAATAAATAAATAAAGCAAATCCAAAGGCTGTCAACCTCCATTTTGTAACTACATGGGACGTCCTGACATCATCACGCAGCTGATTCTGGAACAGAAAGCACCAAAACACAGACAAAACTACAAAACTGGAGGAAAGAGATTCAACCGGCCCTGTCTTCATTGAATGCAAAGATTTGGGCTCATTTTGTTTTTTACTGAATGAGTCTCAGTTTGACATGGGCTTCACTGTGTGCAAGGGTTGCAAAATGAAGATGAAGCACTTTGGGAACGCGACAAATGGGCTCACATTATCAGCTTTGAATGAAAAATCTATTTTTAATTGAATCGTGGCCCCAAAAACCAGAATCGAATCGAATCGTGAGAGAGTGAAAGATTCCCACCCCTATTAAATAGTATTTTAAATTGCCAAAAATAAAAAAATGAAACCAGATTTAGACTTCAGCCCCAAAAATTCTACATCCCTCAGAATGATCAACGTATCTATCATTTCTTGAAACTGTGTAGTTCAAACACATTGAAACACATGGTTAAAAGGTGCAAATCAGTCATTAGAAAAAGGGTGCTTCATATTCACATATACAAGTAAACAAAGATTGCAGTAGTCAAAAAAGCAATTACACAGAAATACAGTTGATTTTAGTGCAAATCAAACAAGCATCAAGTTAAGAAATGTGCTACAAGTCAACTAACAGGTCAAACCGCTGAACACTTCTTTGCTAAGTCAGAGAACATGAAGGTTTGACTTGTTTCTAGATTGTTTTAAATAAAACATGCAAAAAAAACCACAGAGGTTGTTCAAGTAAGACTCATCCGTTAATGGCGTTAGGGGTAGAGTAACATGCAAGAATACACCACAGCAGTGGCATTAATGGGTGTTTAAAGATGCAACACTGGGAATTACAAGCAAGTGAAAGAGGGCCATGCTTAATTTAAACATGTTGGCAGTGGGGTTAGTTGTGACCAGGTAGCATTAGCTGGATCGTCATGCTTGGGACACACAGGGATGAAGAGGGTGAGGCAGATGAACTACAACTGATGCTCCAAGGTAGGCAGTGGGATCTGTACATACCCAGAAAGAACCTCTTAGGGATTCGGATATCCTCGTCCTTAATGTCTGTGGCTACAGATATAAAGAGAGGAAAACACAACAGCTTGGTTTTCTTCCATGGTTTGAACAAAACTTAAACATGACCAGTTGCATGTCAACTCTCCGAACTTTATACCTAGATGTTGTAAATGCCGCTTGTGTGTCTGTCACAGAACATTTTGTTCAAAACTACAACAGTTTTCACAACTGAAGAATTTACTAGAACATATTTAATATTGTTGCATCCCGGTGGTTCTGAATCCAAATGTCATCACTCGGCTATACCGACCACACAAAAAAAAAAAAAAAAAAAAAAAAAAAAAAAAAANAAAAAAAAAAAAAAAAAAAAAAAAAAAAAATCTGATAAATTACAAAAAAAGAAAGTTGTTCCTGTTAACATTAAATACACTTTAGTAAATATGAACTAACTAGAAAGCAAAAAGGTTAAGATGATCTGGTTCAGATCCAAAGATGTCAAATGTCTGTTTATCCTTGAAAGCTGATTCTGTTCAAGCAAATGTGAACAATGTGATAATTACATCTGACTGCTGTTAAAAACATAAGACGACGTAAATTTATCTGTTTTGATTCTTGTTGGAATTTATTAGAAAGAAAGTATACATACATGTATGCAGTTAAAACAATTGCTTTAATTTTCAAGAAATCTACTGGTGGCCTTTGAGCTCTTTTTTACTCAAAGTAAAGTCTACCTTCTACCTTCAACCTCATAACAAATTGCTCTACTGCCTGTTATTTAAACTATAGCAATGTGTTGAACTAACTGGAGTTGATTCCTTTTTGTCAGAACACCACACTCAGTTTCTGTCAAGTTACCCAATAAAACATTTAACATTTGGGACAGCACATCATCATGTGTCCTCGTCAAAGACGCCTCTAATCACACCTTTCGACAAATGACGGTTGATAAGTGCCATCTGCACTTAACTGGCTATTCTAGTTGACCTTGTTTTCTTGCAAGGTAACTGTTGCCTGCTAATCAGAATGCCTGCGCTCAAAGCAACAGTTTCAGGTTTTATATTTTGCCTTTTGTTTTGGGATGAGCAGCAAGCTAAAGTAAGCTAAGTAAAAATCATTAGTTTGCCCCGTCTTTAAAGATTTCACTCTATGCCATGAAACGTTGATGGAATCAGATGCTTCTTTTCTGTCACCAGTAGGAGTGCAATTGCAGTTTTCTGGCCGATCACAGATCTTTAAAAAGTCTGACCTGCCCATTCTGATTTTGGTCGATATTGATTTTTTTAAAAATAACTGACACTGTCAGGTGTTATAAGGTCACAATACACCTTCAACGTTCCAGTCTTATTTTATTGAAAAACACTAAACAAAACCCTTGTAAAAAATACAAGCTTGTTTTAACTGGACATTAGCTAGTGCTCACAGCAGAACAAAAGGGGACAGTGGCTGATTTTCAGACCTTTGTGGGAGTAGATGAGAAGCCGATCTTTTCCACTGATCTTATCCGAGAATAGGACGACCCCTAGTCACCAAATTTGACACTTGACCAATAAAACCAAAACTCCAAGTTGAGGAAGCCCATTTGTCTGAGTCTGACAATGGTAGATTTTTTCTTTTTTTGGGGGGGTTGTTACCAGCTGCTCAGACCATGCAGAGTACATTGTGGATTCGCTGAAACAAAGCAGGAGAATTCTTTGGACTTCCCTTGTTCAGTTTCAAGTTAACTCTTCTAATGAGGACAATGATGTGATATCAACCTTGATGACACTAATGGTTTGTCAGAATATGACGATGAAGTGTTCCTCCCATCCTCGACCACAGATACAGTGGGTAAAACAAAGTTTTGAACACGTCAACATTTTTCTCAGTAAATATATTACTAGAGGTGCTAATTACATGAAATTTTCATCAGATGTTGGTAACAACCCAAGTGATCCATACATACAAAGAAATCAAACCATAAATGTCCAGAAATGAAGTTATTTGTAATAATGTGGAATGGCACAGGGAAAAAGTATTGAACACACTTACTGAAATTTATCTAATACTTTGTACAAAAGCCTTGGTTGGCAATGACAGCTTCAAGACGCCTCTTGTATGGAGAAACTAGTGGCATGCATTGCTCAGGTGTGATTTTGGCCCATTCTTCCACAAACAGTCTTCAAATCTTGAAGGTTTCATGGGCCTCTTCTATGAACTCTGATCTTTAATTCTTTCCATAGATTTTCTATTGGATTCAGGTCAGGTGATTGGCTGGGCCATTCCAGCAGCTTTAGTTTCTTTCTCTGAAACCAACTGAGAGTTTCCTTGRCTTAGTGTTTGGGCTCATTGGGCCTCATGCAAGAACATGTTCGTATTCTTATCCTAAATTTCTCTTACTTTTGTTCGTATGAAGGGTTCGTACGAACATGTCACGTCAGATTCAACAAACTCTTCTATCTTCAGGAAAAGTGCGTAAATGAGCTGCGTAATTTCCACCTGTTCGTATCCAGCTGCTCGTGCACGCGAAAGTAGATTAGCATAATTGCCACCCCAAAAACACCATATAAGGCTGTGTTGTGGAATTCTTATTTTCTGTATCACCTTGACAC